AACATTGCATAGGTGGAATTCCACCTATGGTCAACATCTTTTGGAATTAGTCTAGGCTTATAATTTTTTCTTTTACAACATTGTTTCCATCTTTTAATTCTCATTTCAGAAGCATTATGCATATTAGTAACTGTTCTAACTTTTTCTATCATGGGTTTAATTTCAGAAAATGCACTTTGAACAATTAAATTTAAAATATGACAGATACATCTAACATGAAAAAGCTCACCATGACATGGCAATGACAAAGTTATTTTCAGAAAATCAACAGCTACATTATTATTACTTGCATTATCTAGTGAAAGAGTAAATATTCTTTGATCAATTTCTAGTTTCATAAGTTCTTCAACAATTAAATTTGCAACATTAATACCAGTGTGTGACTCTTCAATTGCAATAAAAGAAACAACTCTTTTAAACATTTTCCAACTTTCATCAATCCAGTGTGCTGTTATACATAAATAACCAGTTTGCACTCTAGATGACCAAATATCAGAAGTTAAAGAAAATTTGCAGTTTAAATTTTTAAAATAAGAAATTATTTTTCCCTGTTCCTCAACATAATATTTTAAAATATCACGTTGACAGGTTTGACGAGAAAATTTTGTAAATGCAGGATAAAAACCATCTCTAAATAAATCTTCAAATTCATCATCTTCTACTAATTTAAAAGGAAGGTTTTTTAGAACAATAAACCTGATTACGCATTTCCGGGCTCGGGCAGCGTCATAATTCCAACTGCCGAAGGTACCTGAAGAGGATGATTGGGAAAGCATAGACTGCCGGATATCACCTTGTAGATTTTGGCCTTTGTTGTGTTTTTCAATATGTCGTTTGAGATGGTTGGTGCCGCTCTTATGATTAGCTTTGAATATCTAGCCGCACAACGCACATTTCGCATTCTGAGAGATGATCCTACCGTGTTCATCCTTGGTGACGTCTATCTTCTCAAAAAAATTCCATACATCAGACCTCGGCCTTTTTGGAGCTCTTGGTGCCGTAGATTCGTCGCCACCAGATTCAGGATTAACACCGGTAGGATGAGGAGTTGTTGTAGGAGGACTCATCTCTGGATCGGTAGGAGTTGCATGTTGCTCTTCATAATCAGACCCAGAAGCCATTTGTTGGAAGTATTAGAAAATACAAAAGATTATAGGATAGTATATTAGTATGAGATAGTATAAGATTGTATAAGAGAGTAGTAGAGAGAGAAATAGATGAGTTTTGTTGTGAGAAAATGAATTGAAACCCCCCCTCTATTTATAGAACCAGCCCCCTAGGTAAATGACCAAAAAACCCTCGAAAAATAGCCGTTTTTGACCGTTTTAAGGGGCAAAACGGGCAAAAGGTCAAATCTGGCCGTTAGGCCAGATTTGGCCCGGGCCGGGCTGGGCAACGGTCACCTTTGTGACCGTTATGGCCGGGCCGGGCCGGGTCGGGCCACCAATTAGTTTAATCTGAGTTTAACTTCGATACCCCTAAAGTATCTGAGTTTAACTTTGATACCCCTAAAGTACCAAAAAGATCCTACAAAGTTTGCCTGAATTTTAACTTTAATTACCCTAAAGTGTTATTTTGCCAAAAAGTGCACTAAAGTTGAACAACTTTTAATTTTGTTACTCAAAATTTAATAAAAATTTAACTCTGATACTCCAAAACTTCAATGATAATTGAATAAAAATTTAAGTGTAGTATCAAATTAAAATTTTGTTTAGGACTTAGGGAATCAAAATTAAATTTTGTTAAAGTTAAGTTAAAGTTCACACCAAAAAAAAAATTATGCCTAAAATTTTCCACCTAAAAATATCCCAAGTTTCAAGAAAATGAAAATTTTTAAACATAAAAAACTTTGGGCACAAAAGTCAAAAATAGGGTAAATTTTGGTATTTTAAAATATCAATTAAAAATAGATCAAGGTTTGGGATATTCCAATGCAAATAACCCTTTAACTAACAATAGGGAATAGGAACATTTATCCTTCTCTAAGATGATAAGTGCGTAGTTTCTCAAAAAGTGAAAATTATTTAGCGTACATGTGCAATATTTCTAGGAATCAAAATTAAATTTTGTTAAAGTTAAGTTAAAGTTCACACCAAAAAAAAAAATTATGCCTAAAATTTTCCACCTAAAAATATCCCAAGTTTCAAGAAAATGAAATTTTTTAAACATAAAAAACTTTGGGCACAAAAGTCAAAAATAGGGTAAATTTTGGTATTTTAAAATATCAATTAAAAATAGATCAAGGTTTGGGATATTCCAATGCAAATAACCCTTTAACTAACAATAGGGAATAGGAACATTTATCCTTCTCTAAGATGATAAGTGCGTAGTTTCTCAAAAAGTGAAAATTATTTAGCGTACATGTGCAATATTTATCCTTCTCAGAAAGGCCCCTATGGTTTGCGCCATAAATCTATTAAGCCCCCAGACTATTATTTGGATCTATTAAGCCCCTATATTTTTTTTATTTTGAATCTATTTAGCCCCTATGGTGTTTCTCCATAACTAAAAAGTAGATTCAATAAGACAAAAATACTCTTTCTTTAGTTATAGAGAAACACCATAGGGGCTAAATAGATTCAAAATAAAAAGCATAGGGGCTTAATAGATCCAAATAATAGTCTAGGGGCTTAATAGATTTACATCGCAAACCACAAGGGCCTTTCTGAGTTTGAACCCTGTATTCAGAGTTCCTGTGCAAGTTTATAATATTAATTTAATTAAATCCACGTATATATCTAACCGTCAACATAAAGATAAAGGGTTGTATCATAGTTGCGGACAGTGCACAACCACATCGATAAACCAAATTGTTTTAGGTAATGATAAAGTTGATAAAATCAGGCAAAATATAATTTGTATCCTCCATTTTAGGTCTCAAAATGATAAAATAAGGGAAAAATATCAACAGTATATTTTTGGCCATACGAAAGAAAGTTGAAGGAGATGTTGATTGAATAAAATGATCACAAAATCTCTTTAGGTAAATTAAGCCCAATTTTTGTCTGCAACTCAATAAAGAAGAATAACTAAATAATAAATTTTTTACTTAGTTTTGGTCACTAATTATAGAAATCAGCATATAAAACATATAACCTCTTTTCCTCCAGTGACGCCGACAACCTTCGCCTCCAGTGATGCCGACAGCTGTTTGTAGCAGTCTTCAGTAGGACTTTTGTCGATAGCCTTCTTTGGAAAGAAGGGATGCGGTGATAATGACTCTCACGCTTACTATATAGGCGTATCATCGTTCGGTGATGCCTGGGTTCTCGAGGCAGATCATAATTTCTGAGATCGAAGGAAAGGAAGCGGCGATTTGGGGAGTTGGTTTCTGAGATCGAAGGGAACGAAGAGGCGATTTGGGGGAAAGAAACGGCGATTTGGGGAGTTGGTTTCTGAGATCGACGAAGGGAACGAAGCGGTGATTTTTTGGGGAAATGAAGAGAAAGAAGCGGTGAAAGGAGATATTTTGGGAATTGCAGAGGATGAAGCGGTGAAAGGGTAAAATTGCCAGGTGGCGTTTCAATTGTTAGGTGGCGTTTCAATGGGTAACAATTTTTAGTAATAGTATATAGATATGCCTAAATCGAGTAAAGGAAGAGTTCATATTGTGCGAAAACATTGTCACATACTCTGCTCTTTATTCCCACTTATTCCAACATTTCATAAATTTATTGCAAACTGCAAGTATTATGAAATTAGGATACAAATAGTGTAACAAAGAAACTCACACTCACAGTAAGGTAGAGCTTCGCATCAAATGTAACTACATTTTTTTTCCCTATCAACACATTTAAACTTGTCAATAGATAAGCAAAAAAATTATTGATAAATATAATTAGAAAAGCTAATGTCCACATTTAAGGAATTCATACATTTTTTGGATTATATTAATCTGTTGCGGTAGAAAAAGATGGACAAAATCTAATTACTTTAATTGTGTTTTCTGTAATAGCAAAGTGATTAATTCTAAAGTTTCCTGTGCACATTGACAATTTATTTTTGAAATATGTGACCAAAAATAACAAAAGCCTAAATGATAAAATCCATAAATTGATTAAAAAACATTACTGTACCAAAGTTTTTTTTGGAAAATAATCTAAAATTCAAATGTCCAAGAAAATCTAAATCACAAAAGTGAGAACTTCAAAACTGCTAAAATAAGTAAATACATCTAGGAAATTATATGCTTACATACACTGACTGCATCCTCACTGGTTGCATCATATACGGTGACATCTCTCAATCCTACATAAATCTGAATCACAAACGGTAAGCTCAAATCCTAAAAATTCCCACAAAATGTTAAGAATTTCATGAAGAATAATGCAACGCATTCCTAGTCATACATATTTACTAAGCAAAAACCCAATTTTGAAAATCTGATATTTAAATCCACAGTGCAAAAACAGTCCAAATTAGCGAAAATAAAAATAATAAATTGAACCTTTAAACTTCTGCCATTAGCCTGAGTTGGGTCTCTTACCTAAAACCAAACTTTAAGTTAAAAAAATAGAGCAGGATCGTGACTCAGGTTCTCTCCGCTGATGTTGATGCTCCTACCTACACTGCCACTGAGGTCGAAGGGATCGATCAAAGTAAAATTAGGCTAATTTATAAGAAGTCAATATCTTCAAGTAGAGGAATTAAGAGTAACAATATCATATGATGAGATTGTCACTCATTACAACGTTATCACAATGAACAACAGCTCAATGAATAACTCAATCCAAAAAAAAATTGATTCGAAGAATCTAACACGTAATATCAAAATTAACAAAACGAAACCTTACATCGAATTAATAAAAATAGACTGTAGTCTAGAAACCCCAACTCCTCCTAAAATACATAATAAATTACGTAATATTATTAGAAATAAAACGCCTAGAATGATCTTAATTGAACAATAATGTAGAGAAGATTAAAAGAGATTACCTCGTTAAATTTTTAAGATATTTTTTAATGACTCTCATAAGGCATCACTAAAAACCATAAGGCTTATAGATGGTTCGTCAAGAGAAGTTAAGCTATACTGATAGATAGCAAAAGAAGAGCTTCACCTGAAGGAGAATTAGAGACACCTGTATAAATATTTTTTGATGAAGATAAACGTATAAATTAGCTTAATTTATCCTCCCAATCTGGTGGCTAAACTATTTGGAGCTCTTGTTGACAATTTGAGGACACAACAAATAACAGAGGCAAAAACTCAAACACCTCAAATGCAAGAAAAAAGGACCCAGTTTTACATCAAAAGTTCTATGGCTGCAAAGTGCCAAGCTTTGATACAAAATTCAAAAAAGACCCAATATAGAAAAGGTGAAGAATAAGAGAAACCCGTGAAGGAAAACTGAAGAAAAATGATTACCTACAAAAGAGACGTTTGAGTATTCAAAGCCCTGACTGTTTTAGTAACTCCGATAAAAATCCAAGGCCCCTCACTGATCATGCAACCAACTTCACTTCCCATACTAACAACCCCAACACACTACAAAAGAAAACCCATATGAGACAATTCAAAATAACCAGCAAATTAAATTCAAAACCATTAGAACACATCAAGACAGTAATTTACTTGGCCACTCTGACAATCCAAACCCGAATAGTCTCGTCCTTGCTCCCCGAATACAACTTATCTAAGCCCGAGGGTAATGCAATTCCTGTAATAACCTGCAAATCCCAATGCCCATCAAAATTTTAAACTACAAAAGACACAAGAGGGGGAAATAATCAGCAAAAAGATCTCACCTTTTGGTGGCCTTGTAGAGGGGTGAGCAAAGAGAAGCTATCACTAACAAACCAAGAGTGCAAGAACTTGCACCTCTCCCCGTAACTACAGTTCCCGGCAATGAAATAGTTGCACAATTTATTCACCTACGGCCGGGGCAGCGCCGCCGTTCAGCCTCCGCCTCTGTCCTTGCCGCATTTGGAGGGTGGGGCCGGGTTGTCGCTGGTGTTAGGGTTTCTCCAGATGAGGCCCTGAGGGGGATTCCGGTAGTTGGCCCGCTTCACGTCGGAATCGAGTGATTGCAGGGGCATTGCTGCTGGAGGTACAGGCAGCGCCCGATGGCGGTTGCACGGCGCCGGCGCCTGCCAACATGGACAGTAAATATTGGAGGGGCCTTGCTGTGGAGGTAAGGGCTAGGGATGTGCGGTTGCAGCTGCGGCTGCAATGGAAGTAGACCTTTGTAGCGATCTCCGTCGCCGCCGTCGCCTCCGCCGGAGTTAGAGGGGCCCATGCGCTGGTGGATTTGCTTGCTGCCGTATCGATCCCTGGGTTCAATGTCCATCGACGCGGAGGAGACAAAACCCTAGGGAGAGGAAAGGGATCGGGATCAGTGATTGTGAGAAGGGGAAAACGCGAATTAGGATGTTTAAGAAATCGGCGATATGAGATTAGTAATTATAATCATGGAGAAGTGAAATCGACAGGGAGAATACCAAGAGACAGAGGTATTGAAACGCAGAGAGAGGGAAAATCACTTAGAAATTTATCGATGGGGAGAAGCGGAATACAAAGAGGGGAGCTTTGGGAAATGAAAAAATGGGAAAACACTGACGGAGACGAAGAGGCGGAAAGAGGAGAGCTTTGGAAATAAAGAAAGGGGAAAACGCTGGAACCCAATGCATTAATTGCGGTACTGGTTTTAATTTGTTGAATGAATTTTTTTAAGGAAATTTAAAAAAAAGGAGAATTTGCCACGTGTCATTTTTGCCAAGTGGCGTTTTGAAGGGTAACAATTTTTAGTAATAGTATATAGATTGCTTTAATTCTTATAACTTGTTTCAAAATTAGTCATTTAAATTATTGAAATTGCTATTAGGACTTCCGATTCTTATAACTTGATTCAAATTATAGCCCTTTCGGTTAGCATTAGTAGAGCAAGATTTAAGAATTGGGGATATAATAGCAATTTCAACAATTTAAAGGGCTGATTTTTAAATAAAGATTTGGATTAATATAAATACAGCACAAAGTTTTTTGGGATTTTAAGATATTTGTTCATACCAACCTTACCTAAGTCATTTTTTAGAAGATCAATAATTTCTATAAGTGTGTGCATGTTAATGTTATAGGGTACAACTGTTTCCAAATATATGATCTAATGAGTCGCTATGTCCATCTAGCCAGACAAGCTGACACCCCAGTGTCAACACGAGAAGCGATGTTAATCGACACGAGACATCCTGACCTCCCAGACGAGTCAACATCTTGACCGACGGGAGAGATAGCCAGAGATCAGCTAGTCGTCCGACTCAGCCGACCAGACGAGTCGATATTCATTAATGTCGACATTAATTGAAAGAGGGTACTTGAAGAATCTTGCCTCTCTGATAAAGTTCTCAACTCCAAATGGAGGGTGATTCGGCCTAGGATAACATTATGGAGTCAGAGTTCTCAACTCCAACTTTCCACTAAATGATAAAGTTCTCAACTCCAAATGGAGTCAGAGTTGCCAGGAGCAACCAACACGAGGCTAGGTCTTGTTATATACTCTCGGTCAAGGGTAAGGGAGCACAAGGCACCCTACCCATCGAGAAAGCCTACCTCCAATTGGAAAAGAACCTAGATCAGCAGAGGACAACACTAGTGGAAGAGCTTCATGAAATACCCATCGACCAAGAAGGATTAAAGATGCTCAAGATCAGGTCCAGTCTAGTTGAGCCCTTACAAGGAGCTCTAACCAAGTTCCTATAGGCCAAAACTGATGTATTCACCTAGGAACTAGAAGACATGTCAGGGGTTTCCCCCAAAGTAATCAGCCACGAGTTGGCCATCGACAAGCATACCAAGCTTGTTTGGCAAAAGAAGAGACATCTTAGCCTGGGGCGCCAGAGAGCGGCACCTGACGAAGTCAGACGGCTCCTTAAAGCTGGCTTCATTCGGAAAGTTCAATACCCAGAGTGGTTAGCTAATATCGTCTTGGTGAAAAAACCATTGAACAAATAGAGAATGTGTGTAGACTTCACCAACCTTAATAAAGCTTGTCCCAAGGATAGCTAACCCTTACCTCGAATCGATCAATTAGTCGACGAAAGTGCATGCCATGAGTTGCTTAGCTTCATGGATGCCTTCTATGGCTATAACTAGATCTTCATGGCACATGATCAGGAGAAGACCACCTTCATCACCAATTTGGGCACCTACTACTACAAAATGATGCCCTTTGGTTTGAAGAGCGCTGGGGCTATATATGAGAGACTTGTCAATGAAGTCTTCAAACATCAGATCGGCTGTAATCTGGAGGCCTATGTGGATGATTTATTGATAAAATCTAAACAAGCGTCCACCTATATTTCTGATTTGGACGAGACCTTTTCCACCCTCTGGTGTTATCGGATGAAGCTCAATCCTACCAAGTGTGCCTTTGGAGTGCAATCAGGGAAGTTCTTGGGGTTCATGATTACCTAAAGAGGCATAGAAATTAACCGTGAGTTGATCGCCACCATAGAGCAGCTGCCTGAGCCACACACCTTAAAAGACATTCAGAAGTTGAATGGTAAGGTAGCGGCTCTATATTGATTTCTCTCCAAATCTGCTTAGAGGAGCCTCCTATTCTTCAAGACTCTTAGGGGAAGTAAGAACTTGAAGGAGAGCATGATGTGGACGGCTGAGTGTAGTGCAGCATTTCAGGACCTCAAAGCTTATTTGAGTACTAAGCCATTGCTAAGTCAGCCTATTGAAGGATAGAGATTATACTTATACATAGCTGTCTCCCCCGAAGCAGTCAGCTCTATCCTTGTTTGGAAAGAAGAGAATACCCAGAAGCCCGTTTACTATGTAAGTCGGATCCTAAAAGCATCAAGCTCAACTACCCTCTTATAGAGAAAGCTGACTTTACCATCATCATCACTGCAAGGAGACTCCTTCCCTACTTCTAGGCTCATGCCATTATTGTTAGGATGAGTCTACTTCTGAAAAAAGCATTAGGTAGCCCCACTACATCGGGGACAATGGTCACCTGGGCCGTCGAACTCAACGAGCACGATATCCAGTTCGAACCCTGAATGACAATCAAAGCCCAAGCTCTGGCAAACTTCTTGATTGAGTCGACTTCCCCAAATAATGAGTCAGATGTGCTTTGCTATCTCATCAGCCAACACCTCCAGCACTCCCAACAGTCCAAGAATCCATTCCACCAACCCATCACACCATGGAGCATAATTCACCTGAATATATCTCATGGTGGATTTTGAAAGTGGATGGATCCTCTGGAGAAGCCGGTAGTGGAATAGGAGTAGTCTTGCAAAGCCCAGACAGGTCGATGCACAGACACTCCATTTCCTTTAACTTCTCAGTGTCAAACAATAAAGCCGAATATGAAGCTCTCCTCACTAGCCTTAGAGCAACACAGGCATTGAAGGTAGAAAGCCTCTATGTCCAAGCCGACTCACAATTGATTGTCCATCAAGTCAATGGACGATATGCAACTAAAGACTCAAGGATGGCCTTGTATCTTAAAACCGCTAAGGAGCTCTTAGCTAGTTTCACGGAGTTCAAAATAGCCCAAGTTCCTTGCACTCTCAATGCTCGAATGGATGCCCTCTTGAAGTTGGGGTGGACAAGCTCAAGGGCCAACTAAGGGCCCATCTACACTGACACCCTTGAACGACCCAGCATCTCCAAGTCACCGAAAATTATCATGGAGACGGAGATGTCAATGACACCCTGTTGGTTTGATCCTATCATCCTCTATCTAACACAGGGCACCTTGCCAGAAGATCTAGCTGAAGCCAGATGTCTACAAAGGAATTCTCGCTATTATCTCATGATCGATGACCAGCTTTATTGAATGTCTTATTTCAGTAGTGATGTCGGACCTTACTTGCGATGCCTCCGGCCACCAGAGGCTAATTACGTACTCAAAGAAATACATGAGGGCACCTGTGGAAATCATCCCGGGGTCAAGCCTTGCGCAAAAAGTCATCTGTCTGGGATACTATTGGCCGACTATTTTAGCCTAATCAAGACGACTTGTCTCTCATTACCAGAAGTGCCAACTTTTTTCATCCATCCCTTGAGCAGCAGTGACTGAGCTAACTTCTATCATAAGCCTAATACCTTTCGCCCAATGGGGGCTGAATCTGTTAGTACTTTTCCCCCAAGCTTCAGGACAGAGGAGATTTCTTATTATGGCAATTGACTACTTCACCAAATGGATTAAAGCCGAGCCCCTAGCTAAGATTAGTGAGAGTAATGTCATAAATTTTATTTGGAAATCCATAGTTTGTCACTTTGGTGTACCTTTGTCCTTTGTGGCTGATAACAATAAGCAATTTAACAGTGGAGGCTTCTGTAACTTTTTTAAAGAATATAACATTCACCTCAAGTTCTCTTCTGTCACCCATCATAAATCCAATGGACTTGTACAGGCAGCCAACAAGTGTATCTTGCAAGCATTGAAAAAGAAGGTGGACGTTGCAGTCGGAAACTAGGTTGAAGAATTACCTAGTATTCTATGGTCGTACTGTATGACCCATAAGAACTCGACCGGAGAGATGACATTCAAGCTGACTTATGGCACCGAGGCGGTCACTCCCGTCAAAATCGGTATGCCAACCATCTGACTACAACACTTCGATGAGGATTCAAACCCAGAAGGACTTCGAGTCAGCCTCAACTTCCTAGACAAGACTCAAGAGAAAGTGCTCTAGACCCAAGTCACCAATCAACAATGAGTCGCCCGCTACTACAACAGCAAAATCCGACCAAGGAGATTTAAGGCTGGAGACCTCGTCCTCCGCAAAGCTGCTTTTGATACAGACACTTAGAGAGACAAAGTAACTCCTAACTAGGAAGGTCCTTACATAGTCCTGGAAGAGCTGTGAGCCAGCACCTATCGACCGAGGGCCCCAAATGGGAGAATCCTCCAGCATCCCTAGAATGTCGAACACCTGAGGTGATATTTTCGATAACCTTGTAAACCTTATCAATAAAATTATTGTTGGAACTGACTCAACTTTTGTCTTGCACTCTGGTAGTGCCCAATCTATGTAGTAATACTAAACCCTTGGTGCCTCTTCACAGGGTAAACCCAAGGCAATCTCACCATGTGATCGACTCCCACAGTCGTGTGTCGACCATTATGACTTTACTGAAGACCTAGGCATCTACGTAAGACCTAGACACTCAACCTCAGGGTTGTCATACTACCTAGTTTCCATCAGGGTGACCCTCCATAGGGCGAAAGACCTAGTCTACTTTTGGATCCTAGGCACAGCCTTATGGTTGTAAAAGACCTAGTCAACTTCATTTAGTTCTAGGCATTCAGCCTCAGGGTTGAATTAT